ATTTGAAAAATCCATAACTTTTTTCTGTGTTGACAGATTTCAATGAACTTTGGTATTTTATATCTATATTTTCTAGCATTTTTTTTGACATAAAAATTTTTTCGAAATTCGAACCCTAACCCTGTATTTTAATTTCGTACTCTACCGTTCTCTTTTTTTTCTCTTTGCATTGCATGCTAACTTACTTCATTTATTTTCCTGCGTATGGCGAAGAGTGGATACTGTATTGAAAATGTAGTGTCTTTCGCCTAGTGTTTACTCTAATGTCTATCGCCGCTCAAAAAAAACAAAAGGGAGTAAGAATGCATGTGCGGAAAAAGGGAAAAACAGAGCGGTAGAGTACGAAATTATCTCGGGTTAGGGTTCGAATTTAGACATAATTTTTATGTCAAAAAAATGCTATGAAATATAGATATAAAAACTCTTTTAATTGTTTTCTTAATAACCGTCTTACATCAATTTTTGTTGTTTTATAAAACATATTCCGAACACTTTCAATATTTGGAACCTTTTTTTTATCCAAAGATGCATATAAATTTAATAAATAAACATTAAATGCCCAAAAACACATTCTCGAATTAATTTCAATAATTCTATCAATTTCTCCAGCTCGTGGTTTATTTAATTTATAAGCAAAAAAGAACCATAATTGAATTACTTGCCTCTGTATTTTCTTATTAGTTTCTTTTTCACCTATATATGTTAATAAAATAGTTCTCCTCAAATGATTCATTAAATACTTTGAAGCTTCATATATTTTCTCAAAATCTTTATAGTGATATATTTTTAAAACGTTAACTAATGCTTCAAATAAGATAACTACGTCATGTTCACCATAGTACACTTAGAAATGAACATGGATTTTATTTTTAATGCAATGCGAAGGTTACCGTATATGCTTGAATAATTATCCTGAGTAATTATTGTTTCGACCTCTCGCTGGGGGGAGGGGGTAATTAATCGAGAGGATGTGCTAAATTAGGGGTATATCTCAATAAATTGAGGAGGAAATCGATTTATTTTTTCATATTGATTAATAAACTGTCTCAATGATTAAAATTGACAATGATTTTTTCAATATTTTTAAAATTTGAGATGGAAAAGGAGGGTAATTATTAAAAAGGGTAATTATTTGAGAGAGGGTAATTATTCGAGCATATACGGTATACATATTTTTCAGCCCTGCTATTGAAATTAGAGATTTTCAGAAAGCTACAGGAAAGCTTTCAGTTTCCCCAGTATTCGATAATTTAAAAAATTTTTAGAAGGATGTTTTTTAAGGCTGAATTTAATGTGAGGTCTAATAAAGATTTCAGATTAATTTTCTTTAATTAAAATTACAAGGCTGTTCCGATTCAGATCCACTATTAAATTCATTTTTATCTTTATGCGCTTTTGCTATTATAGAATTATTTCCAACTCGTCCTTTTGAATTTGTTGATAAAATATTAGCTAAAAGATTTTTTATTTAAATTATTAATCAAAATTAAAAAAAATATTTACAATTTCCAATCTTTCGATTAAATCCAATTTGTAGTTTATTCGGTTGGGTTTTTGATTGAAACTCGCCAAAATTTGGGTTTAAATTAGGAAGTGTTGATTGGACTGTTAAAAATAAAATGATTAGAATATCTCTGAAATAATTATTATTCCCACCCCCTCCTTATAGTAAGAGATAGTATTGCAAGTATTGTAAAAGAATCAAGATTGATATTTCTCAAAAAATCCCACAGACCTCTCTTAAACACAGGTTCCTTCCCCCAAATCCCTCGATAGCCCTCTTAATTCTAAAATCTCTCAATACTCCTCCAAGTCCAACAATATTCCCTTTAATCTCCCAAACTCTCAAATATTCATCCAAGTTCATAAATATTTCTTCAAATCTACCGATATCTCTTTTAGTCACTTAAATCCCTTGATATCCCTCCAACTTTATAATTATCCCTCGTAGGTATCCCTCTTAATCACTTAAGCACAACTTACTCACTGGGTAAAATATGGAGTCAGAAACGGCCAAAATTATGGAAAACTATATATGATTCATTCAAAATTAGACCTGGCCCCGGTGTTTTCGGACAAGACACGGGCCTTGTTTTCTGGGTTAAAACTCCAAAATTCAATAAAAACCGGATTTTATCAAACCACCCGATTTCCGAGATAGCGGACCAGAACCCATCCCTGGCCCGACATTATGTCTAACTCTACTTACTTAAATAATTATTTCCAGTTAAAACACAAAATATTAACAAATAATTATTTAAAAAAATAAAAAATATTATTAAATAATTCATTTATTTAGACAATTTTAAATTAATTTATTTTTCTATGAATGAATTTAATGGGGGATTTTAAAGAGGCCGCCGGAAAGCACTTTGACAAATTTCGTTATTTTATTTCATTATGCTTAGTAAATAAATATTGCGTAATTTAAGTCTTAATTAAATCTTCACGTGAAATAAAATAGGCAAAAATGCCCTTTATAATATAAATAATTATCTTTAATTAAAATTTAATTTTCGGTTTTTGTTTCCAAGTGAGGTATATGTATAAGGTAAATTGGCCGAACTTGACTAGAATAAGCCAATAGTATTGATCCTGAGAGCTTATCAAAGTTATCCCTACCATCCCTCGCTGACTCGTAACCTTCATTTTTGTTTTTAAATTACCTAGGCTTGTATTGAATCTAGCCGGATTTTACCTGAGGCAAAATCATATGTCCGGTGTGTTTTTTGAGATGGATGCAATTGCGAACTTTGGCTTGCATGAAATTGTGTTTTTTTTGTGGATTGAGACTGCGAATTTTTAAGATTTTTACGTAAACTAATGATAAGCTTACGTTTACTCTTTGACATAAGTATGCCCTCCTTAGGTTTGTTATTACTCAAAATCCTCAATAATAAATAAAAGTCTTCCAAGCTATCAAAAAATCTTTTTTTGAATTATTAATAAAAATCTATATTTTTAGCTTGGATGAATTAAAAATAGAGTTGGATGAATTTAGCTTTTGCATTTAATTTTTAAAAATTTATTTTAATTTACATTAATTTTTGGTATTTTGCTTCAATCATGAGTTTTGAAAAATAAATAAATTTATTTTTGGATAAAAAAAAGAGTAAAAATTAATTTTAGAGAAAATTTAGAAAATTTAATTTTTATTTTTAGAAAAAAAAGAAAATTTTGTTTTTGGCAAAATTAGATTAATTGACGCAAAATCTCTTTGATGGTAAGCTTTATTCTAGAATTTATTTTATTTTACATTAACTTTTGGTATTTTGCTTCAATCATGAGTTTTGGAAAATAAATAAATTTATTTTTGGTAAAAAAGAGAGATAGAGAATAAAGAAATAGAGAAAGCTCCTTTTTCGGCAAAATTAATTGACGCAAAAGCTCTTTGATGGTAAGCTTTATTCAAGTTAATGAGATACCAAAGCTTGGAAAAAATAATTTAAAATTGTAAATATACGTATACTGAACAAATATTAAAAAATAAAAGCGAAAATTAAATAAGAGATAACTTCAATATAAATCAAGAAGATCCAACAGAGCAATTATAAACACAATTAAATTATTAATTTAAAAATTAAAAATCCTTATTTATTTTAATTAATTTATTTAAAATTAAAATTTATTTTTCGAAAATTTTATTTTTAAATTTATTTATATTTTTTAAAGTATGACAAATTAGTTCCAAATTCATATCTGAAATCTACCCATAAACAAAGAGTAACAATATTTAGATCTGCTCGAATTTATACTTGATTTTGAAGGATTATTTACTAAGAAGAAATTAGTAGAGCTTTTCAAGACTCTTGGTCTTGACTCAAGACTTTTTTTTGGGTTTCTTTCGGTCTTGGGATGAAGTCTTGGTCTCGACTTTTTTTTGAGTTTTTAAAAGATACACCCCTAAAGATCGGTGAAATAATATAAAGTAAAAGATGGTAGGAGTAAGGGGACCGAACAAGGTGTATTGTACGAGAATCGAGATCTCAGCTAGGACGCTCTCTAATTAAAACAATAAAAAATACAATAAAAAAAGCAAATTTACTGCTTTTTAAAAAATAGCAAAAAATAAGGTTGATTTATAAATAAATTTCAATTCTATATGAAGCATTCCTAGAATATACAAAAATACAAGGCCTAAGGCTACAGAACCTTCAGCCTCCCAAGTTAAAAACTAAGGTTGTTAGCGACCGTTTATTAACCGGTACCCACGGTTTTCGGTTACCGCCGGCTTTCAACCTCAAGTTTTCGGTTCCGATTAATTCGCCAAAAATACCGGTTAACGGTTCCGGTTTAGTTAACCGTCCGCCAACAACCCTATTAAAAACTCTAAAATAAGCATTTTCCAAGTATTTATAAATATTATATTCTTAATTTAAATAATTTAGATAATTAAATATTTAAAATAAATTTTAAAAATGACAAAGGTTATTTTTGTATTTTTTCTTTTGGCATTTTTGACTCTTGCGACTGCGGAGGTGAATTTATAATTAAATAAATTTTCTATATAAAATTAGAAGGTTAAACATCTAATCGGTTCGGATTGTCCAAATATACATGATCCTAATCTTTTTGTCAAATGCCAAAATGCACGATATATGTACGACTGTATTGCTAAAAACTGTAAATCATGCTGCAAGGTTCATAACGGAAATTAAATTAAAGAAATGATAAAAATTGGAAGAATTTTAAATTTAATTTAAATACACACATATTTTATTAAATCAAATATTTAATTGAAAATATATTTAAAATTATTGGGAATAAACTGATATTTGGGAAAGTATAGCTAAAAATCATGTTTTTCGTACTAAAAAGACGCGACAATACAGGATATCATTAGAAAAGTGCTAAACATGATCAGCAAAACATTTTTTCTAATTTTCAGACCTCTTAAAATCGAAAATATAGGCATTTTTGAGACCTCTTAAAATGAGGAAGGTGATGATCTTCTCTCGCCCTCAACATGGGAAATTGTTGGGACGAGTCCAGAGCCTACAATGAATCGTTTGTTGGTTTTTCATCTTCTTCCACAAACGGCATCGCGAAAGAGAATCTTGAAAAATAAGGGTACTGGATTACCTGAATATGTTGTGGGAAATGATCACCCAGAAGGTCCAAAATGCGATGATATGAGGATCGTATTTGTAAGCGATAATTTTAATTTTTATTCAATTGATGAAATATTCTTTCCAGTCTAGAGATAACTACAAATTGTTGACTACAACATCTTCTATCACTTCAACGTCGAAACCAACTCAGGGTCCAACTAATAAAGAAGAAACATCTACAACATCATCTCCTACTAGCAAAAATGATAGAACAATCTCAACATCTAAGAAGACTCCAGAAATAACTACAACTTTGGCAACTGTATCCTCTTTAACAACTACAAGCACAAAAGCTACAACAACAATAACTACTACCACCAAAGGCTCTTCAGGCTTTCTGTTTTTTGTTGTGATTATCGTTATTATTCTGGTTGCTATTGGGATTGGAATTGCAATTTACTTCTTCGTCATTAGGGAGGAGGAGGACGATGAGGAAGGTGATGGGACTAAGGGAGATGTCACAGGAGAGGATCAAGAGAAGGAAGATATTAAAGGAGAAAATGATAATGACAAAGGAGAAGCACAAAAAATTGAAGATGAAGAATTAAAAGAAGAGAAGGATGATGTCAAAAGAGATGAGCAAAAAAAGGAATATGTCACAGGAGAAGAAAAGAAGAAAGATGGTGAAGTAGAAGTAAAGAAGGAAGATGTTAAAGGAGAAGAGCAAAAGAAGGATGAAGCCGCTGAAGACGATAATAATGCAAAAGAGAAGATAGAGACGACTGCAAAGACTGTGGAGGATTCTGTACCAATAAATAAAGGCGAAACCAAAGAAGAACAGGCGAGTGCTGAAGATAAGAACTAGAGCGCGGACCGTACCGTACTACGGCCGTATTTTATCGGTATTTATCGGTATTCCGTATCGGTAGTACGGTACGGAATACGGTACGGAACGAAATTCCGCGCTCTAATAAGAACGATGAAAAAGTAGAGGAGAAGGAATAAAAAACTTTGTAAAAAATTTTTCCTATTAATAAAACAAAGAATTATTTTATTAAAATTTTTATTTAAAATATTAAATAATTAAATTACTAATATAGTACTAATTCATTAATTTAATATAAATTTTCTTTTATTGCTTTGTTCATATTTTTTCCATTTAATAAGTAATTTAAACGCAAGGAGGAATAACCAATGTTCCTCTAAATCCTCAGCAAGGAGTTTCACATTTCGGTTTAAAATCATGATCTTGACAATTTTTACAATCAGAGCAGCCAGCAGTACAGGGAGGGCCACAAAGTTTGTTGAAAAAATCCTGGCAACTCTAAAAGAATTTTTTTGAAATTTAATTTTTATTCTTGTTAGTAGCAATTAAAAAATAAAATGTAGAAAAGGGATAATAATTTAATAACAAAAATTTTAAATTAATTATGTAAATTTAAATAAGTCTAAAGTTTAGTCTTTAATTAAATTTTAAAATAATTTGGTAATTTTTGTTTATATTTAAAATTAAATCCACACAGTTTCTGTTAAAAGCAATGTTTGAGATAAAAGTCAAGAAGACAGTTTTCGACTTCATTGTTATTATATTTTATATACTTATTGATAGCCTTACCTCAGCAGTGGCATATTCCGGCATTAACGAAACAAGCAAGAAAATTGAAGAAATAGCCAAAAAGCTCATAAATTTTTGAGAGGCCATTTTTAAATATTTTTTAAATTAAAATTTTATTTTTGTTGTTAATTTAACCATGATTTCCCTGCCTTTTATAGGCACAAAATTTCGTTGGCACTAACAATTTTTAAAAGCTTATTTGTCAAAACAAACATTTTTTTAATTTATTATTTATTAAAAATTATTTTATTTATTTTTAAATACCTTACTAATTTTAACGAGAATTTAATATTTTTAATATTTAAATCTTTAAAAATCAGTATGAACATGTGTTTACAAAAATAAATATTTATTTTTATTAAAAATTAGTAAGGTACTTTTAAAAATTAAAATTTGGGTGGCCATCAAAATTTTACAACAATTATTTTTTTATAGAAAATATCAAATAGTCATTTCAAATTAAAAAAAAGTTTGTTTTGACAAATAAGCTTTTGAAAATTGTTATTGTCATCGAAATTTTGTGCCTATAAAAGGCAGGGAAATTATGTTTAAATTAACAACAAAAATAAAATTTTAATTTAAAAAATATTTAAAAATGGCCTCCCAAAAATTTATTTGCTTTTTGGCTATTTTTTCAATTTTCTTGCTTGTTTCGTTAATGCCGGAATATGCCAAAGCTGAGGTAAGGAGAAGCTTGAAGGAATATTTTTTTCTAAAATAGTTATGTTCAAAATAGCCTAGAAAACTTAGTTAAATGTACTAACTTCCATACTGTTAAAAGGAAAATTAAATAATTGTTTAAAAAAAATTAAATTATTAGTCTTTTCTTTTATTTTTTAATACCCACTAACAAAAATAAAAATTAAATTTCAAAAAAAATTCTTTTAGAGTTGCCAGGATTGTTTCAACAAACTCTGTGGCCCTCCCTGTACTGCTGGCTGCTCTGATTGTAAAAATTGCCAAGATCATGATTTCAAACCGAAATGTGAAACTCCTTGCCGAGGATTTAGGGGAACATTGGTTATTCCTCCTTGCGTGTAAATTATCTTATTAAATGGAAAAAATATGAACAAAGCAATAAAAGAAAATTTATATTAAATTAATGAATTAGTGCTATAGTAATTTAATTATATTTGATATTTTAAATAAAAATTTTAATAAAATAATTCTTTGTTTTTATTAATAGGAAGAATTTTTTACAAAGTTTTTTAATCCTTCTCCTCTACTTTTTCATCGTTCTTATCTTAAGCACTCGCCTGTTCTTCTTTGGTTTCGCCTTTATTTATTGATGCAGAATCCTCAACAGTCTTTGCAGTCGTCTCTATCTTCTCTTTTGCTTTATTATCGTCTTCAACGGCTTCATCCTTCTTTTGCTCTTCTCCTGTGACATGTTCCTTTTTTTGATCATCTCCTTTGACATCATCCTTCTCTTCTTTTACTTCTTCATCTTCAATTTTTTGTGCTTCTCCGCTGGCATTATTATCTTCTCCTTTGATATCTTCCTTCTCTTGATCCTCTCCTGTGACATCTCCCTTAGTCCCATCACCTTCCTCATTGTCTTCCTCATCATCCTCCTCCCTAATGACGAAGAAGTAGATTGCAATTCCAATCCCAATAACAGCCAGAATAACGATAATCACAACAAAAAACAGAAAGAATGAAGAGCCTTTGGTGGTGGTAGTAGTAGTTATTTTTGTTGTAGCTTTTGTAATTGTTGTTGTTCTAGAGGATGTAGATGTCAAAGTTTTAGTTAAAGTTTTAGTTGTCTTCTTAGATGTTGAGATTGTTCTATCATTTTTGCTAGTAGGAGGTGATGTTGTAGATGTTTCTTCTTTATTAGTTGGACCCTGAGTTGGTTTCGGCGTTGAAGTGATAAAAGATGTTGTAGTCAATAATTTGTAGTTATCTCTAGACTGAAGAGAATATTTCATCAATGGAATAAAAATAAATTTATCGCTTACAAATACGATCCTCATCTCATCGCATTTTGGTCCATCTGGGTGTTCTTTTCTCACAACATATTCCGGAAATCCATTACGAATATTTTTCATGATTCTCCTTCGCGATGCCTTTTGTGGAAGAAGATGGAAGACCAACAAACGATTCATTGACGGCTCTGGACTGGTCCCAACAATTTCCCATGTTGAGGGGGAGAGAATGATTTCTTTGGGGTTATTCATGCAGATAGTAGATGGTTGAGAATTTCTGTGTCTCATTAAGTCTTTGATAAGGAATTTAGGAGCTTTTTGATTGATGTATGTTTGATTAAAGTATACTTCTGTACTGCTCAAATTCCATTCTTTACGAATATAGTAAACCAATTTCGTACCAACTAAAATAGGTAAATTATGCATAAATTCAATAGAAATCAGGTATTTACTTGGATTTATATAAAGCACAGCATTAGCTCTGCCTTGATCTTCATCATATTCCCAACTAACTTCTAGACCTGTCTTTTTGACACAACCCTCTAAACAACTAGGGCAATACTGATCAGCAAAAATCGGGCCGTTGTGAAATTTCTTGACTTCCCCATTTGTCAGACTGTAAGCAAAAGGCAGTCTACAAAATAATTAAATTAGCTTCAACCTTTAATGCTTAAAGCTTAAACTTACACATTTGAATTGATGTCACTCCCGTTCAAACATTCATATAGCCCTCCTCGATTGTGCACACCAATCCAGAAAACAATCTCGTCCTTCCTATCGGTCAGAAGATCCACAGTACACCCTTTATCCTTTGTGGTCCCTTGACTTGTGTAGTGGAGAACGCTGTGAATCAAAATTCGAAATATAATTTGAATAGGAAATCTCAACTCACATATTCCCCTCAACAAAATCAACATCACAAGCATCAGCAGAACTGGCTTTGTACAACTCAAGATCCTCTTTTTTGGCAACCACAGATCCCTTAGCAAGTATCACCTTTCCATCTTGAAGAATGTGATCACCAAGGCCAACTTTGAACGAGGGTTTACTTGTAGAAATCATAGTTGTTTCTTGTCGATGATTGTCTCTGTTGGAGGAGGTTGTTATTATAGAGGTAGTTACATCTGTCGGATCTTTTGAAGTCGAGGTGGTTTTTTGAGATACTGGAGTGAACAGCAAGCTGTAATTCTGCCTAGACTGAAAACAATAATGTTAGAGCAACTGAATAAGGTTAAAAAAGGTTAGCGACTTACAAATATGATCGTCATCTCATCGCATTTTGGCCCTTCTGGATGATCTTTTGTCACAACATATTCCGGTAATCCTGTACCCTTATTTATCATCAACATTCTCTTTCGCGATGCTCTTTGTGGAAGAAGATGGAAAACCAACAAACGATTCATTGTAGGCTCTGGACTCGTACCAACAATTTCCCATGTTGAGGGGGAGAGAATGTTATCTATGGGGTTATCGATGCACATGGATGGCTCAGTAAACATAGTATCTGTCTCTTTACTTGAAAATCTGATGTGAAATTTTGGATATGTTTGGTTGATTATTAAACTATATTTCCATTTTACATATGTTCTACTCATGTCCAATTCTTTGCCATCAAAATAGATCAGTTTTGTGGCAACTAGAATAAGCAAGGTTAATAGAGTTAATTACTCACAAATATAGTCAAGCAGCTGGGATATAGCTATTTCTCTCCTTCAGCTAGTGCAAAAAGCTAATCGGCGGCTGGGAGCGAACCAGCATCTTCAGTAGACCGGACTGATGTGTCAGCCATTATACCACGCCGCCTACTGCATAGCCTTAGGAATTAAATAGCTATATGCTTTACAATATTTTACTTGGATTTGCATTAAACACAGCATATTCTATCTCTCGAACATCATTATATTCCCATCTGACTTCTAGACCTGTCTGTTTGACACAACCCTCTAAACAACTAGGGCAATACTGATTAGCAAAAATTGGGCCGTTGTGAAATTTCTTGACTTCCTCATTTGTCAGACTGTAAGCAAAAGGCAGCCTATAAAATAATTAAATTATCATTCAATCTTTATTGCTTAAAGGTTAAACTTACACATTTGAATTGATGGTATCCCCTCTAAGACAAGTACCTAGCCCTGCACTATTATTCAAACCAGAATTTAAAACAATCTCGTCCACAATATTGGTTAGAAGATCCACTGTACAACCATTATCCTTTATCGTCCCTTGATTCATGTAGAGGAGAAGGCTGTAAAGATGGGAGAATACATATAATAAAGAAGTAGTTCTATGTAACTCACATATTCCCCTCCTTATCAAAAGCAATATCACAAGCATCGTCAGAAATCGTCATGTTCTGTTCCATGTCTTTTTTATTAACAACCCTCGAGCCTTCGGCAAGTGTCACCTTTCCATCTCGCAGGATGTGATTCCCTAGGCCAACATAGTTTGCTTCTGTGATGTTTAACTGGCCAAGTAATTGTAGAACAACAATGGAGAGAGCCGCGATGTTTGCTAATATTGTTTGTTTTTTGTTCTTGTTGAAGATAGAAAACCACATTGTTGGTTAACAGTTTTTGATGATTGTATCAGATAAGATTTTGTGATGGAGTGATTATGTACAGTATATATCCGGCTTTTATAGTACTCTTTTTTCTGTTACTAGGTTTTGGTTTAAGTTGTTTTTAGATATAATCTGTTGATATAATCCTACTTTATTTTTGAGTACCTCAACTAAACGATTTTTTGTACTATTTAATAAATTTTTAAATAAATCCTGTGAAATCATAGTCATTGCTTCTTTAAATTGTTCTAGATTTGAGAATTTCCTTGAATCATTATAAACTGACCGCGCTAACACTCCCGAGAGATCTCAATTGGATTGAGAGCTGGTGAGAGAGCCGGCAATAAAAAGGAGGTTTTTTCTCATTATCCTCATAGGTAGAGTTGTCGGTTCTGGACCGAACTGAACCGAAGAACCGATGATTTTTCGGTTCGGATATCGGTTCGGATCCGGATATCCGAAGATTTTCCAAGAACCGACAACCCTACTCATAGGCTATAATTTGATCGTTTAGCTTAGGTCTCTTTAGCATAATAAAGTTTGTGATGTACCGTTAATTTCTTCTTTGCGTCAAGTCTAAGTACAGTAATTTTTAAAAATATTTATTTTTAATAATTTCCTCAGTATACTTTTTTTGATTATAAAAATAACTTCCTTTAAAAAATAATATTTACATATGTAGTTTTAAATAATTATTTTAGTTTAAATAATAGTTTAAATAATTACTCTATTATTTATTAAATAATTAATAATTACCCTATTATTTACTCCAAATTACTCTTAAAATTATCGGAAAGCTTATTATATACGTCAATAAATTTTAAAAATCCTATGGGATTAAAATAAATAATTTATATAAATTATTATGTTGCGCCAGTCGGGCCAATCAAGAATAAGCTCTAACGTCTATATTAAGATTTAAATTACACAATAATAATTACCAAAATTTAATTACCCAACAATAACTATAAATAAGGAATGAAAATTAAATAAAGATGCACTTTATTAAAAAATTTAAAAGACAAAATTTTCCTTAAAAATTTTTAAAATTTAAAATATGAATGTATCAACAGCATTTTTTAAAGGAGAGAAGGGAGATTATCTCTTTTTTTCGACAAAAGGTATATACATAATTGGAAATTTTTTAATTTTAATAAGCTTATAATTAACTAATTGAATGAGACACTTAAATAGAGCATTACTTTGAACTTATTAAAGCTCAATTAGATATAGCTTATAGCGAGATCTATTATTCTAAAAACTGAATTCTTTATTATTTTTTTCTTTATTAGGTATTATAGGTTAATGGCTAGGCTAAATCTAATAGTGAGGAAAAGGGGAATTGTTTGGGGATTTGTATTTATGCGGGCATTTATTAATAAAAATATTATTATAGATAAGGGTCTGAAACAGTACTAGGAAATTTCAGATTTGCTCGAACTAGTACCAAGTACGAGATACTAGTGTAGTACATACAAATTTAGGTGTGAGGGTCCACGCACTTTTCGAGCATTGATGTCAGAGGAATAAAAGGGCTGGGCTATTTTAAGGGCTCTTTTAATAATCAAGAAAGATCATATAATCAAAAAGTACTTGAAAATATTTTTAAAATTACTTTCAAGAATATTGAAAGTAAACAATAATATTTAATAAATTAAAGAAATTTTTTAGACCCAATAAGAGCTGCTTATGCATATGTGAGTTCTTTTGTTTTTGTTTTTGGATTTTTGATGAATTCATTGTTAATTTATCTGATAAAAACAAAGACGGTAGCTGGAATGGAAATTTATAAAAAATTGCTTTATATTAGCTGTTTTATGGATTTGACAGTTTCTTTTTGGAATTTTATTGTCCAACCGGTATGAATTTTAACTCAATAAATATATCCAAGACTCGGATTCTTCGGACTATCCAAGATTCAAAAGATTCGAATCGTCATACTTTTATTTGTCAGAGTTGCTGATTCTTGCAAATTTTTAGATATCCGTAACTAAAAGTAAGAAGTAATAGGTAGATTTATTGAGATATCCACATAAAATCGGACACGCTACAAAATAAAATATAGTAAATTTATGTACTACAGATTCCTTGTAACTCTAGTGGTTATCGTATTATGTTAATGAATGGTTTATTTCGAAAGTCATCACAACCTATTCGTTATGCTATTTATCTCATTTGGGTTCAATTTTACGTAAGAGAGAAATTTTAAAAATTTTATTAAGAAAAAGTCCATAATTTTATTTAATTTTTAGCTCATATTCTTGCTTACTACAATGTCTCAATATGTCTATCGTTTTTTTATTTTATGTAGAAATGGAGTTTTTTCTGCTAAAATTATTCTGCCTTTAATTATCGGCGAAACATGTTTATTTTTTACACATGCATTTTTAATCACCTGGGCTGACTATCCACGGGAAGAACTTTTTTATAAAATGAATGAAATACGAATAAAAATTTTTGAAGAATCGAGCATATCTGATATTGAATTTATTTCTTTTGTTCACGCGGTAATCTTTTAAAACCCAAAAATAAAATAGTATAATACCAAGAGTAATAGTATAATACCAATAAAATTATTGGTTTTCGGTTCGGATATCGGATCCGGATATCCGAAATCTTCGGTTCGGATCCTAGAATTAGGGAAAAATGGAAGAAATCTGGTCCATAGACTACAGTACCTAGTTATAATTTTAAAAAATTGAAGAGAAACTACCGTTGGTTGATGCATCTTACGGCAATGCTTTTCTTATTCCCCGGATTTTATTTAATAGTTGGCATTTGCTTTTTTAAAATTAAAAAGGCAATTAGAGAAATGAATGTCTTAAAATTAAAAGAACATAACAAACAAGTTTCGGCCGCTCTTCTTTTTCAGGTAATTTTTTAAACAAAAAATCTTGGATGAAACATTGTCCAGTGCTCGTGAGATATGGCTCCTGGAGCTAGTTCTGAAACTGGCTCCGGAACCTGCCTCGCCGTAGACAGTGCCAAAATTTGAAAAAAGTAGAGTCTATCACAAAAGCAATCTTATAATTAAGGCATTGCTTCCATCATTCGAAGTTATTGGCTGGACTATCCAAGTATTTGGCCCAGTATTTATTACCGGACATTCTATCATGTACACAGTTGCTACAGACATCCCAGTAACTTTAATCTCAGCTTTGAACCCTATTGGAACAATTTTACTTGTTGCTCCATATCGGTAAATTTTTTTTTCATTAAAAAATTATTGGTATAACAAAATATTAATTAAACTCCACCCAATCATTTAAATTTATTTTAACTAAATAATTTTGAGGCGTGCTGTTTTTCGTTATTTTGGAATTACCAAAGCCCAATCAACAGTTATTCGTATTCGCACAACAATTCAAACAACAGTTCGTCGTTATGGGACAGCTAGTATACACCCGATTGGACGTTCTGGAAATTAAAACTTAAATAAAGCCAGAAGAAAAATTAAAAAGAAAAGATGATTAAAAGAAAGACATAAAATTTAATTAAAATATGTAAATATTTTTCTATTGACTATGTATCGAAAAAATCGAACCGGGCTCTTTTTTACTATTAGATGACCTTTGTTAGGCTAAAATGGGTTGAGAAAAGTTCGAAAATTGGCAAAATAGGTCTGAATATTTAGAGTTTTTTTTAATTTTGTGTTTTCAATTTATGGTTTTATAATTTTCACGGGCCTGTAACTCGGCTATAGCAAGATTACTCCCCCTATGCTTTTTCGATTTTTGGGTCCATGTAACTCGGTCCTTTGAATTTTCGTGTTCATTTTGGTGTTATTCGACACAGATAGCTGTTTCGACTAGTCCCATCTCTGAGAGCTCTTTTTAATGGCATAAATATCGAATATATCGGAGTCTGTCCTCAAGGCAAGTTTTTGTGTATATGCATGAACACATTTAAACTAAAGTTAATTGCACAAAAAGTTTTATTCAAAAATAACCAAATCTTCCAGATAAAAGTAATCTACAAACGACGATTTACAAAATTCAAACTTTCTCAAATTTTAGGTTGCAAATCCATTTTTGGAAATTTCAATTAGGATATTATAATAGGTTTGAAATTTATTTTAAATTGTTAAGTTTCCTTCAGTGTCAAATGCAAGATTTTTAGGGACTAGGCCGTTTTGGCGCGGGGCCGTTTTGGCGCGAGCTTATAAGATAGCGAGTTCGTTATCAAAAATGATAAAATTTTGCAATAATAACTCTCGTACCTTTATCTAAGTTCTCCAAAAATTTAAGAATTTTTGATCAAGAATTTCGGAAATTGTGGCCAAAAATGTTGATTTTCTAAAAAATGCCTAATTTTTCGAGGTCCATCGACTATAACTTCAGAAATATTTGATGAAAAATTCTGAAATTTCTGGAGGAAGTAGTCAAGGATGTTAAAGAAATTTGAGAAAATTTTTATGAAGCTAGGTCTCGCCTAAGTGCCACTTTTTTGTTCTCGCGCCAAAACGGCCCGGCGCCAAAACGACCCCAACCCAGATTTTTAAGGTCTAAGAAGACAAGAAGTCGGAATTCCTGGTTGATGAATTTCATTTTATAACAAATAATTTCTTCTTGATTCAAACCGACATTAAGTCAATGTACTTTATTTCTAAAATATTTTTAATAATTTCCATATTATAATTTCCTTATTTTATTAATAATTAAAGATTACAATATAATATTCTTAACAAGTTCCTTATCATAAATAATTTTAAAGAATAATATTTTCTAAATAATTATTTTTAATTGCTTCTAAATTCTTTTAAAATTATTTGAGTGCTTATATCTGCGTAAATAATTTTTAAATATTAAAATGGGATTAAAATGAATTTTTTTGTTTGTATCATATTGTGTCAAACCAAAGTTAAGCCACCAAAGTTAAGCTCCATTGTCTAGATTAAGATACATAATTACTTAGCTATAGCTATAAAAATGTAAAGAAAAATAAACGAAGTTTGCACTTTTCTTAAAAATTATTTTTTATAAATAATTTTTTTTTAATTTGTAAAATTTAAAATATGAATGCAACAACAATTTTTGAAGGAGAAAGCGGAGATTATCTCTTTTTCTCGACAAAGGGTATATTTGAATTGGAATCTTTTTAATTTTATTAGAATAACGGGTTACACTCCAATGTACCGCGAGGCCAACGTACCGCAGAGCTATAACTTCGTTCAAAATCGTCAAATCCGGGACGCAATGATATGGTTCGATTTAGCTCGTCGAGACGCATCGAACCATACCAAGGCGTCCCGATTCGACTATTTTGAACAAAGTTATAGCTCTGCGGCTTATGGCTCACGTCGGCCTGTTTCCAGAATAACAAGAATTTATTTATTATATGTACTTTACTTTAATATAGGTACATAATCGGTTTAAAAGGGAGAGAATTGACTAGGAGGGTTTATGAATAAAAATATTAGAGATAGGGGTAGGAAATTGATGTAAAAGGAATCATAATATCGGGAAATATTTACAATCAGGAATTAAAAATATATTTTAGATCCAATAAGAGCTATCTACTCTTATGTAAGTTGTTTTGTTCTTGCTCTTGGATTTTTGATGAATTCACTGTTAATTTACTTGATAAAAACAAAAACGGTAGCTGGCATGGAAATTTACAAAAAATTGATTTATATCAGTTGTTTTATGGATTTGACAGTCACTTGTTTGAATTTTATTGTCCAACCGGTGAATTGCTTTACTAAGTATCGGGATGTTTCGTGGCGGGTACAAGTCGGGGAAGCAAAATAGTGTCGGTGTACGGGGGTTTAATGATAAAATTTCTGTTATTTTTCGTTAATTTATTCTAAATTAATGAGGATTATGAGGGTTTAAAGGGTTATAAGATGATTTCTGAAAACAAAATAATTACTATAAATTGATTTAAGTATTTGTAATTCGAAGCATCAAAATTAATTTATAATTAATAACACATTATTGCTTAGATTTAACTTTTTTGATCAATTTTAGTCTATTTTATGCATATCTAGTGCTGCATATTACTATTGCCTATTCTGCCTTTTTTCGTATTTTAGTGCCTATTTTGGCAATTTTTGGTGCCTATATATCCTCTAATTATAAATAATTAAAATAGGACATGCTACAAAATAAAAAATAAATTTATGTACACAGATTCCTTGTAACTCTAATGGTTATCGTACTGTGTTGATGAATGGTTTATTTCGAAAGTCCTCACAACCTATTCGTTATGCTATTTATCTCGTTTGGGTTCAATCTAATGCAAGTTATAAAATTCAAAAAAATTCTTTAAAAAAGTTTAGATTATATTCTTGCTTACTACAATGTCTCAATATGTCTATCGTTTTTTTATTTTATGTCGAAATGGAGTTTTTTCTGCTAAAATTATTTTATCTTTAATTATCGGCGAAACATGCCTATTTTTTACACATGCATTTTTAATTTCTTGGGCTGAATACCCACGTGAAGAACTCGTAAATAAAATGACTGAGATACGAACAAAAATTTTTGAAGAATCAGGCATATCTGATATTGAATTTATTGCTTTTGTTCATGCGGTAATATTTTAAAAATCCAAATAAAATAGTACAGGGTAAGCAAATTAGGAGCACCTTTTCATTTTGTCATACTACCTTCAATTTCAATAAAAATTGATAATTCGCTTTTTATTTTACTCACAACCTTCTATGAAAAAGTTGCGCCAAATCATAGAAATTTGATCAGAGTTAGTAAAGATAAAAACATCAAACATCTAAAAGCGTCAAAAAACATTCTTTCATGACAAAGTTTACTTTGCCATAACTTCGCTCAAAATATTCAATCTTAATATGGTATGTACCAGGGGTGTCGAGTTTCGCCTTTCGTCTCTCGCCGATTTTTGCCTTTTTTGGACTTTCGTCTTTTCGCCTTTCGCTTTTTAAAATCATTTTCGGCACATCCCTGGTATGAAGCAATCTTTTAATCTCTTGATATATATCTTATCCTTAAATCATTTGATACTCAAGGCATCCAAATCCAACTTAATCCCTTTAAAGTTCCTAATTTCACTACTAATCCCCGAAATAATTGTTATCCACAACTTGCACCGATAAATCTGGCTTTTTGGCCAAATTTTTAATCCCGCATTTTTTTTGCCCATAAACCCCGATCTTACTTTTTTTGGACCCGGCCCATCCCTTGTATATGAATAGAAAACTCCGACTATTTTTTAACTGTTGAAAAAAGGATGAGATATTATAAATTTGAATGAATCATACATATTTATGATTTTAAAAAAATAAAGAAAAACTACCGTTGGTTGATGCATCTTACGGCTATGCTTTTCTTATTCCCCGGATTCTATTTAATAGTTGGCATTTGTTTCTTTAAAATTAAGAAAACAATTAGACAAATGAATGTTTTAAAATTAAAAGAACATAACAAACAAGTTTCGGCCGCTCTTCTTTTTCAGGTAATTTTTTAAACGATTAACAAAAAAATCTTGGTAGACAGTATTGCTGCCCAGAGCGAAGTATGGCTCAGGGAGATAGATCTGAGGTTGGCAACATCTCCAGCGGAGCCGGAGATGTTGAAAAATTTTGAAAAAGGGTACAAAACGAAAAAAAGTTTCCTCTCTCTCTCAATCCGCAGAGAGAGCCGAACTGCACCTCTGGCACAAAACAAAAAAAGAACAAAAGCCCACTACCCGGCACTAATGCTGTCACAAAAAACAAACAAAATTATTAAATTAAAATTAAGGCATTACTTCCATCATTAGAAGTTATTGGCTGGACTATTCAAGTATTTGGCCCAGTATTTATTACCGGACATTCTATCATGTACACAGTTGCTACTGACATCCCAGTAACTTTAATCCCAGCATTGAACCCAATAGGGACAATTCTACTTGTTGCCCCATATCGGTAAATATCTTTAGATTAATCTTTCAACAAATAAAAATTGCTACATGATTTTTTAGTTCCGGTTCCAGCCCTTTAGTTCCGGTTAAACCAGAACTTTGTAACACACTAAGGATTTGATTTCTCATTTTTAAATGAACGAAATTAGCTTACAGCCTTCTAAAATTCTTAAATTTTCGTCTGCGGCGCTAAAAATGGAAGAAATCTGGCTTCTTGGACTTCCAAAATTCTCAAAATTTTGCCTTCAGCGCTGAAATAGAATGGCTACTTTGTCCTCCCGAATTTTTAAAATCTTTGCGTGCGACGCTGAAAAAGCGAGAAATCTGGCTTGTTCGCCAGATTCCCTGATTGAAATTTGTCCTTTCTACATTGGGAGTCAATAGGCCAAAAAGAGCGAGACTTGAAGAAAATCACCATCATTTATAATTATAATGATGGTGATTTTTATAATTATAATGATCTACAGTAAAAGATTTTATTAAAAATTAGGTAGATTTAATTAATCTATTATATTTTGAGACGTGCTGTTTTTCGTTATTTTGGAATTACCAAAGCCCAATCAACAGTTATTCGTATTCGAACAACAATTCAAACAAAAGTTCGTCGTTACGGGACGGCTAGTATACACCCGATTGGACGTTCTGGAAATTAAACATTTACATAAAGCCAGAACAGAAATTAAATTTAAAAGAAAGATATTTGAAGAAGATTGATAGAAAAACAAGTATATCTATGACTATTTTTGTATTAAATATCGAAAAAATCTATTTAAAAAATTTTTTTAGATCGGGCTTTAATTTAAATATTTTATCCTTAATTTAAATATTTATCCTCTTGTACCAAGGCTTTTATTTTTCTTTACCTCTTTACCGATTTTTACCTCTTTTACCGTTGTTTGACTTTGAATTACTTTTAACTTTCAGCAGAAATGATAGTGAAAAATGTGATGAAAATATGAGATAAGTGGTTGTTTACTCATTTTAGAGTCGAGATACTCGTACCTCGTATTCGTACCTGGTACGAAGTACGAGTACGAGCAAAAAAATGGGGCAGGTACGAAGTATGATACGAGGCAAAAAAAAAGTGTTAAGTTCAAGGTACGAGGCCAAAAAAGAGTTGGTACGAAGTACGAGTACATGCAAAATCGAAATTTCGAAGCACTGGTCGAGATCCGAAAAATAAACAAATACCTATGTATATTTCAATATGATCACAAAAAATTTATTCATTAAAAATTAATTTAAAAACTTAACATCAGCAGATCTACTGTAAATAAAATTTTGATTAGTATTACTATTTATCCTTTCATTTTTAATATTTTCAGAATCTTCCTTAATTTCCCTACTTTCTTTTTCTTCTTTTAATCTTCCAATAACATATTTTAACAATACAATAGATGCCCTGACATTATTCGGGTGTACATCTTCAAAAACGGATGTAGCATCCATTCCAATAAATTCAAGAAGTATCTGAATAATTGAATTGTCTGATTATATAATAAAAATAAAGTAAAGTATTCCATTGCACTATATTTAGCTTAAATATCTATAACATTCCTATATAAAATTACTCCTTCCAAACAGGGCTGCACGCAATTGCGGATTGTGTAAATTGAGGGGGTTTATGCAATTGCGAGTTGCGGATTGCGTTTGCGGATTTTTAAAAAAATTGTGAGTTACGGATTTTTAAGATTTTTACACAATTTTCACGCAATTTTTCGAAATTTCCCTCACAATAAATAAAAAAAATCTGGGTTCTTGATCTTCCACATTTTCTCAAAATCTCAAAAAATTAAAAAGAAATTGCGAGTTGCGGATTGCAAGTTGCGGAATATGTATCTACCTCATCACCCCCAGGATGTATTTTTAAAAAATCAGTCAAATCAAAGACTAAAGAGCCAACAATAATCCAATTTCTATTAACATTAGCTCGAACATCTTCTCTTGTAAAAATAGGTAATTTATCAATAAGTGAGGGTCTTTTCTTTAAATTAATTAATTGCGTTTTTGTTGAAGAGGTAGTGGAATAATTAAATAAATAAAGTCCAGACATTTTGTTAATTTATAGGAAATTATTTTAGAATCAACTATAATTTTGATTTTTTATAGAAATAACAATTAAAAAATCTAATAGATTTTTCGTTTGTTAAATACATAATTGTAGGTACATTTATCAAAATAATTAATATTATCAGAATCTTGTTTATATATTTTTACTTTGTTTTCGTTTAATTAATAAATATTTTGATATTTTGTTTAAAAGCAATTTTAAAATCTGATTATTTCATGATAGGAAAAAAATTATATATTTGACAAGAGAACATCGTTTACTGGCAGTGTGAATTCGATAATCTTTTTTGGTACCATTCGATAGAGGAAGTAAGTCGAAGGTCCTTTATCGAATGGTACCAAAAAAATTCTCAAATTCACACTGACATTAAACGATGTCCCCTTGTGAGAGAAGCACAAAAATAAATTTAGGATTAGGGTTGCCAGCTCGCTCGACCCGAAACTAGAAAGATCGAGCGAGCCGAGACTTTTCAGCTCGAAAACGAACCAATCGAAAAACTAAGCTCGAAAAATATGCACCGAACGAAGGCTCGAACCGAAAACGACGACCCTATTTAGGATAAATTAAAAATAAATATCGGAGAATTTACTAAATAAATAAAGGGAAATTTTTAAAATTAAAGACAGACTTTATTGAAATAAAAGGCAATAATTAAACAACATCCAATTAACATTTTTACCCCCAAAAAGGAGACATTTTAAACAAAAATTCGTCCTTAAAAAGCACCCATTTTCGTCTAATCAATTTTGTATTTAATTAATTAATTACTTCAATCACTTTCTTGTACCCATTAATTAATCTTTTATCTACGAACATTTAAAAGAAAATGATAAGAAAAGGAAAAGAATGATAGTGCTTGGATGGTTTTTGACGTTCTCCTATTAATCTTGAGTTATTAAATTATTTCAAATTTTATATATCAAATGTCTCTCTCTTTAATAAATAATTTTATTTGTTTAAAGAAATTAAAGGAGAAAACATAAAGTCCATAAAATGTGATAAAACTGCAAAATAAAAATGCAAAATTAACACAAAAATATTTTTTGAATAAAAGAATTTTTAGATTTACTGAGGCAATTGAGATAAAAATATTTACATGTTACTCATATGTAATGAATTTTGAAAGGATCTAAACTAGAGATCCGCTGATTAAACTTTTAAAGAAATTAAAGTAAAATTGGTGTTGATCAAGAGTTTGTAGGTCTTCAGGGTCAAAGGTCTTCAGGGTGTAGGTCTACGTGGAGTAGGTCTTCATGGATGACAACGAAACAATGAAACGATACGTTTCACCCATGTCTGTTCGAGACTGGGAAGGTAGTACGAGGATCGGAATCTCGATAACAGAGATCTTTGTTCGAGTTTCTAATCTACTTATCTTGGATATTGACGTTTATAAAAATTGGTCTCTAAATTGGTTTAGAGATTTGCTTTAAAAAAGGTCCGTTACTTAATTAAGGAAAATAAAAATTAGGAGTCATCTTAGGCATTTTACAAAATTTTCGATTTTGGATATCTCTAATAATCTAATTAAAATAAATTCAAATACATATTTAATTTCTTGTTAGATTTTTTTAATTTATTAATTTTTTCAAAAATTTTAAAATTTATTTTAAAATTTTTTTCATAAAAATTTTTTTTATTTTGTCACCTTGCCTCCTTACATTTGGGGTTGACATACTTTTTTTAAAATATTATAGGGAAGGACGCTTATCTTCCAAGCAAAAAATGTCTAGGTCACATTGATGTAAAATTTCCCTCTATACATAAACTCAGAACTTACTCTCATATACCTCATTCACTTTAATTTCCCTCTTATTTTTTGAATATTTTTTCAGAAATTTAAAAAAATGAAGATCAGAACTTCAAAAGAATTGGAAGAATGGTCCTTTTCTGTCAACAATTCTGGTAATAGTAACGATATTTCAATTAAAGTTGAAGAAGAATCAGATGCTACAATTGTATTAGATGATGACGAGGAAGTGGAATGTTTAAAAGAAGAAGTTATAGAGGAGGAAGATTTACAAAAAGAAAATTTAAAAAAAAATAATTGTAGTTTAAAATGTAAAGTAAAAAATGTTGAAGAAAGAATTAAGGCTTTGGAAGTAAGTAAATAGCTGTAGTTTAGTATACCGGAGGAAAGGTTTTGATATAAGACCCATACTATTCGATTCGTCTCGATGAGCTGAGTCGAACGATACCAATTTTTCCGGAGATGTCTGTGTACCGAGATATAGGCCTCCAAAAATCGAAAAATCATAGAGGGGACCATCTTCGAATCAATGTGATTTTAGTTTCATTAGACAGGCATCTCCGGAAAAAAGAGTGGCATCATTCGGCTCAGCTCATCGAGACGAATTGAATGGTCTTTTGTATCGAAACTAAAATTACTCTACTAAACTACCGTATTTTCTCGATTAATTCCCCTCCCTAGAATAATTCCCCATGCTACAGTTGGGTTGAAAAATAATTCCCTACCCCCAAATACCCTACTGCATGTTCAACTGCCAAAACTCGAATAATTCCCCTCCCTCGATTAATTCCTCATGCCAAGGAAGGGTTGAAAAACTAATTCCCCAGGGGAATTAATCGAGAAAATACGGTATGTTCAGCTAAACAAAGAAAAGTTTAATTAAATTTTCTATAGGCTGATTCGGAAAAGACTGATTATTCTATGGAATTAATTAAAACAAAAGTTGATTTGGTAAAGATTTTTAAAATTTTGTGAAATTTTAAAAATATTTTAAGCAAGATCAAATGTTAAAACAAATACTCTTTTTACAAACTAATTCACAAAAGAGAGCCTCTGAACATAAAATTGCTATGTTAAAAATGCGGAAAAGTGTTGAGAAAATGGCTAATGAAAAGGCAATTTTGTATAAAAATTTTAAGAAAAAAATTTTTAAAGTCCAAATTAAACCAACAAAAAGAAATTTTGCAACAATCAAAATTTTCTCTTAAAAATATTGTTGCTTTACAAAAAGAAACGATTGGAACCCTTGAGGAAAAAATTGGAATGGTTGATGATGAACGGAAACAGTTAACTGAGAGATTAAATAAAGTGAAAATTTATCTTAAAATTAAAAAATTGCTAATGGTTAAGTGTGTTACCCATGTTTTCGGTTGTAGTTGTACCTGAGGTAGAAGTTCGGGACGTGACATATGTTATTCGATTCGTCTGACGAGCTGAGTCGACGGTACCACTCCCAATTTCAGGAAATGATTCTGGACCGATTTATATTTGCATATTCGAATTTTAGCTCAAAATCGACCTTACTCCCCCCTATGGTTTTTCAATATTTCGGGACCTATAACTTGGTTCAGAATCATTTCTAAAATCACATGTCACATTCCCGAACTTTTACCTCCGTTCTACAGCCAAAAAAAAAGTAAACAGAAACTTAACTATTACCAAAAAATTATTAAAAAGGCTGAAAGAGAACTTCGAGTTGTGACAAACAAATTGGCAAACTTTTCCAACATGAAAGCTGTGAGCTTTATTTTTTAATAAATATAAAAAATTTTTTTTTCTCAATAGAAATTTATTAAATTTGAAAATAAATGGGGATATATTGCCGAGCATTTTTTTGTTGATCAAAAGAAAATTATTCACAATAATAAGTTTGAAAGTAAAATTGGTAATGTTGCTATTAATGGGGGAAAGGTAGAATATTGTGCATCAAACAATGCTAGAGGTGATTTTTTTTTGAATTTTTAAAAATTTTTGGTATACCTATTTATGTAGTTCGAAAGATTTTGTGTCTAATTCGATTATATACAATTCTAACCCTATATCAAAAACACGTCCGGAGCAGACGTGGGCGAAACGTTTCGTTTCGTTTCGTTGTTTCGTATGTTTCGTGGGTTTTTTTGAGTATCGTTTCGTTTCGTCACGAAACACTTTTTAATTTGTTTCGTTTCGTTTCGTTACGAAACACCTGTGATTTTTCAACGAAACGAAACAATTTTTTAAGCCCAAACTAAGGCCAAAATCTATAAAATTTACCATTTTTTATTGAAAATTAAAAAAATTTTCGCCTGCGGCGCTGAAAAAAAGAAGAATTTCGGCTGCTTGGCCTTCCCAAATTGTCAAAATTCTCGCCTGCGGCGCTGAAAAAGTTAATTTTTTGGCCTACGGCCTTCTAAAATTCTCAAAAGTTTCGCCTGCGGCGCAGGAAATGGAAGAAATCTAGCTTAAGGACCTTCAAAATTTACAAAATTTTCGCCTGCGGCGCTAAGAGAGAAAGAGTTGTAAACAATTGTAAAAACTCACATGCCCCCCTGAAGCTAACCCCCTGGATACGCCCTTGAAGGATTTTGGGATTAGAGGGGATATAGGGGATTAATCAATAAATCCCTCAATATCTCTTGTAATTCCCAACCCGTAGCCCTTAATCCACCAATTTTAAATGTAAAATAATACCCTATGTCTCTATTAATTCCCCAAATAACTCATTACTCACATCGATAACTCTGTTAATCCTAAATTCCCTCAATACCTCTGTTATTTCCCCAAATCCATTTATAATTGAAAATTTTAAAATTTTTTTCAAAATTTTAAAATTTTTCGTCTGCGGCGCTTAAAATAAAATTTTAGTTGAAAAATATTCAATTTTAAATTTAAAAAAAGCGTCGCCAAAAATTCGGCTCCGAAAACGATTGATCCCCCCCCCCTTCCCCGAAAATTTTCCTTGCTACGGACCTGGCTTATGGGACACAATTGTTGTAAATAAACCAATAACTAAATCATTTATGAGTCATAGGCGACTAATAAAGTATATGAGGTCGAATAATTGCGAAATAAATGCAGTTTTGAAAATTTTTTGAATATTAAAATGTTTCGTTTTGTTTCGTTTCGTTTCGTAAGATTTTGGTTGTTTCGTTTCGTTTCGTTAACGAAACGATTTTTAAAAAATTTTGTTTCGTTTCGTTTCGTCAGAAAAAAATTTTGAGTTTCGCCCAGGTCTGGTCCGGAGATATACCTTAAAATGTTTTTTGGAAGCCGAGGGAGGTAATTCCTCAATGGGTTTCATTAAGTAGGCTTCTAATAAGGATAGGCTTGTATTAGGATATTTATAAACAGTGGAAGTTATTATTATTAGTACTTGACTACCTATTTTCTAATTTTAATTTCCATAATAGAATCTACTGTTTTTTGATTATAATTTAATTTATAAGATATGTACCTAGTTTAAATTTTTAACAGCAAACTTACCAAAAAATTTCTACCCGATATATCGTTTAATCTAGCTCTCTCCGACCCTGACAATTTTTTTGACAAAACCCCCAACCCGATCCTCGAAGGCTTTACCCTCTCCCCGACGATCCCGACCCGGAAGGCTTGGCGAGCTACCATAGTTTAGTCTAATCTAATATTAATTTTTCTCACTACAGAATTGAATAATATGATACGCGTTTATGGCCAAAACAAATTTAATAAAGTAGCAGCAGACCCTCTTTTTGACTCAATTTTTTATTTTGAAATTGAATTTCAAAATATTGAAGAAGTTAATAAAAGAGGGGAAATGGCATTAATTGGACTTGACAGTAACAAATCAACGATACTTACTTTGTCTTGTTGTTGTTTATTGCCTGATAAGATAACTAAAAGTTTAAATATTTCTGTTTTGGGAAAAGTTGAAAAAATTCGTTATCCAAATATGTCTTGGAAAAGTGGAGATGTTTGTGGGGTTGGATTAGTTTATCAAAAAGAAGATAGTGTTGATCAACGTCCATATGCTTTCTTTACACTTAATGGAGAAATTTTTGGTAAATTAATTTTTATGAAATCGGGCACTTACCGTATTTCTTCAAATAGAGCCCCACCCTCAATTAAAACCCCGTCCCATAATACAGCCCCACTTTGGAGGATAGTTGAAAAATAGAGCCCATGGGGCTGTATTAGAGAATATACCGTAAATGGGCACTTGTTGAAAATAATTTTGGATAATTTATTATTTAAAACAATTATTTGTTTTAATGAGTGGAGAAAATTGTATTTTTAAATTTTGTTTTAAATCGGTCAGGATTTTTTGTTTAGTTTGTTCATAGAAGCTACTATGGGTACTTGTGGGTTATCCCAAACCAGTACTTGCGGACAAATTTATGCGGACTCAGTTATGTACGAAAAGGTCAAATGTTCTCCCTTTCTCGATTTCACTCAATTTTCTCTGTGGCATTCTTCAATGAGGGCATCAAAGGGAAAAGATTAATTTTAAATACAAATGACCGATTTTTAAATAAGTGTTGAGGGGAAAATAATGGGTGAGGGGAAAAAGAGGTGAAGGTTTTTCATTTTCCAAAAATAGTCCAGATAAAGCAGTTTTGTAAATTCGTCCAAATTGGTCAGCAAAACAAAAATTGGTCCTGAAAACATTACAAAAAATTAATCTTTTCCCTTTGATGCCCTCATTGAAGAATGCCACAGAGAAAATTGAGTGAAATCGAGGAAGAGAGAACATTTGACCTTTTCGTACATAAAATAGTCCGCACAAATTTGTCCGCAAGTACTGGTTTGGGATAACCCACAAGTACCCTACTATGTTTAAAAAAACAGTTCTAAGTCTTATAAAATGTATGAAATATGCCTATGTATTAGGAGAAAAATTACACTATTTTTTATATCTGACCCGGACCGATTATTTGATGACCCGGACTGAATCCGGTTTTAATTACGGACTGCCGAATCCGGAAAGTCTGGATTCTGGTCCAGGCTTCAACTCTAGATAAAACTTTTAAAAGAATTAAAAGTACAGATACTTTTTAAAATTTTAGGTAAAACACTTTTCCTTGAAGAAAAGAGTGACAACTTTCGACCATTTTTTGGCTTTCTTAATGGAACTGTCCAAACAAACTTTGGTGCTGATTTGTTAGCAATGCCATTTCGTTATGATGTTTCAAAACATATTATGCCTGAAGGATTTTACGAAGAAAAAGATTTTTCTTAAATTTTTTAATTAAATTGATGTTTTTTTTTGTTTTTTAAATTAAATTTGTAAATGTTTTTTGAACAAAATTCTCTTTTAATTTGTAAATAAAAAGTTTGGCAATTAATTTGAATTTCTAAAAATAATTTTGAGCAATATGTAACATGAGATTTGAATTGGGTACTTTTCCGTTATGCGACGCCACCTCCCCATAAATTAATGTTAAAAATGTCAAATATAGGGTGATAGAAGGTGTTGAGTCGAACGGTACTACTCTTTTTTCCCTGAAATGTATGTGGATCGAGATGAGGGCTCGAAATGGTCAAAAACCATAGGGTCATTTTGGGTAAAAAATTCGAATATGCAATTAAAAACTGATTCAAATGAGCTCATCGAGCTGAGTCGAAAGACAACAAAATCAACAAAATCTGATATGAATGGACTCATGTCAGCACCTTTTATTCCGAGAAGGGATACAGACATCTGAACATTGAAAAACCACAATTCATTTTTGTATCGTAACATTGTCCAAACTTGTTCAATCACGATGATTTTGGTGTCATTCAACTCAGCTCGTCGAGCTCTTACCCTTTATAACTCCAAATATACCGATATCCTCCTAAATCCACCTCTAAGCATTCAAATCCTCTTAATCCCTCCTAATCCACTGATATATATTCATTCCCCCATTAATCCGTAAAAAAACACCGATATTGTCTCCAAATCCACCAATATTCAACATATCTATAATTTAAAAATTTTTTGTGAAAATCTAGTAATCCCGGGGGGTTCCTGGCAAATTTGGGAACGGGATTACCGGGTTTTACGGAACTAATCCCGTGGTATCCCGTCCCGTACAAAATGTTGAAAAAAATCCCGTTACGGGATCCGGGAATGTGATTTTGCCGACCTCTATTCTAGGCTAGTGTCTGTCTTCTTGCATAAACAAGAACGAATCTCAAATTTGTCTGCTATACCGTATTATAAAAAATTAAAATAATTTCTTTTATCATTTTACCCTAATCCAAATAATCCAAAAATTGCTTCATAGAAAATATGCTACTATTCTTTATTTTAATATTTTTGCCTCATTACAAAGACTAGCATTCTTTTTTCAAAATAAAACTGAAACTCCCATAATAATGTCTAGGTCGACGAAAAATAAAAAAAAATAAAAAATAAAATTTTACAATTACATATTCTATATATAATTTTATTTATTATTTTTCAGATTTTATAAATAAAAATGAAAATGAGAACACCAAAGCAAATTGAAGATTGGTCATATTCTAATAACAATTCTGATAATATTAATAATTATTTAAATAAAATTGAAGATGATTCTGATAAAACTATTAATAGTTCTGATAGAACTATTCAACTTGAAAATGAAGTAGGTCGTAACACAAAATTTAATGTTGAATTAAAGTTTATAAGATTCACTATTTCCGATTTTTTATGAAAAGGGAGATTTTCGCTAATTATTTCTGACATTTCTCTCCCAAAAATAATTGTAGTTTTTATAATTAAGTGGCTGAAACTGTGAATCTGTGTCTTATGGTTACCTAAAATAATAAAATCTATCATTAATCATTATCGAATTAGTGATCAATGTATTCCACCATGTTTCAGGACACTTAGTCTTGAGAAAAAAGCTCCTTCCCTGTTTAGGTATTAAATTCGGTATTTTTAGTTAAATCAAGAGCCAAAACCAATTAATATAATTTTGGAACGAAATTGTTGTAGTTATAAACAACACATTTTTTATGGTTTTGTTATTTTGTTAAGTATTGTTGTGATTGTTGTTACTTCTCAAAATAAAGGAAATGAAGAAAAATTACACGAAAAAATTGAGAAAATTGATAAAGAACAGGCCAAACTTTATGAACAAATTAAAATTTTGGAGGATGCAAAAACTGATTTAGATAACCTAGTCAGACAGACTAGTGAAAATTTTCGTGAAAAGATTGCGTTTATTGGTGATAAACAAAAAGAAATTATTTATTATTTAAATAATGTAAACTTTTTATTTTTTTGATATTCACAAATATTCTAAATTTATTTTAAGGCATCAGAAACCAATTTTTATTCTCAAAATTTTATTAGATCGCGAATGGATCGAATTGAAACAAAACAAAGTATAGAAAATAAAGAATTTGAAATTAAACTTCATGAAATGAAAATTGAAATTGATAAAATGATTAAGGAATTTACTTCAGATAACAGAGAAAATGAGGAAAATAAAACTGAAATTTTAAAAATGGGAAAACAAATTTATGGAATTGTTGAAGAGCAGGTAACTTATCCAGAATTATTGTACATACAACACCAGACAATAGCAAAAAAACGAAAAAAAACACCTAATATGAGGACAAAAAATGAATGAAATTTGGCTTCAAGACCTCCCTAAATTTTCGCTCGCGCTAAAAAAAATCGGGCCTCAAAACCTTAATTAATATGGTTTTTTGGAGTCCAAGCGTGGGATGGGGTTCTGTACATCCTTGAATCGGAAGGCCCAAATCTACTTTGAATTATTGAACATAAAATTTTTTTGGAATCCAAAATCGGGTTAACCTAGTGTTAGAGTTCCACTTTTTTCATCCCCTGATTTCTTTCTTTATATGAACAGATTAATCTTTTTTATTTGAATATTCTACAGGGGAAGATTGAAATTGATGAAGGAAGTCTGAACATCCTGTTCATATAATGGAACAAACCATGGGAAGAAAAAGACGGAAACCCTAAATTGGTTTATCCCCAAAATCTTAATGAGAAATAATTTACAATATTATTTCCTCTTTTTTACATTTTTTTGAAATTAATTACTAAATAATAATTTTTATTTTTTAGGAAAATTTTGAGAATAAAAACTATTCGGCAAGTTTTGCTTTAATTAAGTTACGTAAAAATAACTCAATTTTTATTTTTAAGGAAACTCCAAATCCCGTTTTAAAAGAGAATAAAACAGATTCTGCAAGCCTTTTCAACTTAAAAAATTCAATTTTTGCTGAGTATAATATGTTTGGATTATTTTTAATAATTTACTATTCTATTGCATTGCTATCTTTTCTTATGGTACTGTTTAATGCTAAAACGGAAGATTTTTTTACATTTGAATTTTTTGAGCTTCTGTTGCTAAAAACAAATATTTCTGCATTTTTAACTACTCTTTCTCTATTTTTATTTTTTTATCTCTTTTATGGATTTTATTTAAGTTTTTATTATTCTTTAGTATATTCTTATTTAATTGTTTATAATTTTTTTGTATATTATTATTTATATCTTCACTTTTTATGGTCATTTTTCTTTTATTTAATTTCTGAATAAAAGTTTTTTGAATAAATTTTCCTCTAGTTAATTAAATTTTCTAAATCCACTCTGACTTAAAAATTAATAAATAATCCAAGCAAAAATTTAGAAGCAAATTAATTTTATATTAATTTTAAATATTAATTAAAAACTTGAGTAGATTTAGATCAAGCATACAAAATAATATTTACGGTTATGGAATTTTAGTCCCACCGTTTTGAAGTATCACTAAATATCAGCATTACGAATGTTATCAGGAGATTTTATAGGATCAAGGAGATTTACATAGAGATACCATGGGATTACGGTGAATATCAGGCTAGTTGGGGAGATACATATTGAGGATAAAGGAATACGTTGGATCTGAAGTGATACCGGGAATATCAGATGATTTGGAGGGATTTAGAAGGGAGTTTTCTTAGTAGCTACATGATGAAATAAAATTGGTATACAAAGGGTTTTTTGGTATAATAAGGGCAAAATTATAGAAATTTTGGAAGGCCAAAAAGCCAGTTTTCTTCCGATTTCGGCCTCAGATTGGGTATATTTTTTGCGTTAATTTTGGTAAAAATAAATTATTTATGAATAAAATAATTTTTAATAAATTCTCTATTGTCAAACTATGTATGACCTTATAATTTCTTGACAGATTGTGTGTAAATAATTAAAAAATAATTTAACACAAAATTTCAATTAAAACAAATAGGTAACTTTCTTATTCATAAATTAAATAAAGAAACACAATGGAAATCAGAAACTTAAAAAAAACTAATTATTAAATTTAAATTAAGGAAAATGAATGTAAAAATCTATTTTCGCATCACAATCATCCAATAAACCAAAAAAAAGATTATTTTAAAAATCATTAAAACAAAAGGAAAATTAAAATAAATTAAAATATTTTTTTAGAAAAAATATTAAATAAAGTTAAAGTTTGTACAATGGATTCAAAAAAAGATTTTTTCAATAAAAGGAAATTATATCCCTTAAAATTCTTCTTCAAAATGCGTCATTAATTTAAAAATAAATTTAAAATAAATAAATTTATTAAAATATCCATTTATGTACCTTATTTAAATTTTATTTTAAATAATTTTTATTTGCAAAGCTTTTTTCTCTGGAGTAGCTACTTGTTGGGAATTTTTTAAATTTAATTAATATAAATACAGAGAAGGGTGAATATATTAAAATAAATCAAAAAATAAATTTTAAATAATTAAATTTTAAATAAAAAATATTTTTAAATGGCTTCTCAAAAAATTAATTTTATAATTATTGCTTTATTTAGCATTTTTGCTTTAATTTCTTCAGAAGAAAATATTAAAGTATTTTTTAAAAAAATTTTTAAATTAATTTATTTAAATGAAAATCGAATAAAAAAAAATTATTTTTCAAAGAATTGTCAAAAATGCGCAGCAGATGTTTGTGGCCATCCTTGTAATGTAAGCGAAAGTGCCTGTAACAATTGCAAGACTATAGATTTACCAAAAAGGTGTGGATGTTGCTTCCCGGCTGTTGATGAGGTATTTTAATTTGTTAAATTACACGAGCGGTTATTATTAATAAATTATCGGTTTTAATTAATCTTCCCAAACTATGCGGAGATTGTAGTCCCGTTGGGGTTGAGGTATATGATTATGAGACTTGTGAACAATTTTTTTTATTAATTTGTTTTATGTATCAGATAAATAATTTATAATTTTTTCATTCTGGACTCTCTAATTATAAGCTCAGGAACCATTCCAAGCCTTAAAGTGGGTTTGTTATGGAACATTTTGTGGTAGATTTCAAGCCAATTCTGGACTTTTTTCCTTTATTTAATCTTTGATTTAAATTAAATTTTCTCCTTCTGGTCCCCAATTTTTTACATTTCTAATATATATTTTAATTTAAAGACGTGTGAACAATGCACACACCGAATCTGTGATTACCCATGTAGTGTGGGTGATTCTGATTGTAACAATTGTCACAGAATTGATGTCCCCAAACTTTGCAAAACTTGTCCTGCTGTTAAAGAAGTAAATAGGATATTTTAAATATTTTTAAGTATTGTGAACTTTTAAAGAATTTTGTGTTATTTTTAGCTAAATATGGGTATTTATTAGGCAGTGATACTTAAATTAATTTAAATATAAATTAATTCAAGTTAACATTATTTAATTTAAAGACTTGTGAAGAATGTAAAAATCGAATTTGTGATTATCCATGTAAATCAAGTGAATCGGCTTGTGACAATTGCCATAAAATTGATGTTCCTAAACAATGTGAATCTTGCTCAACTTACAACAGTGTAAATATTTAAATATTAAATTAATTTACGCCCCCACATTCTTATACAATATTTAGCCTTAATATCTCATAAATTTTAATGAAAATTATTTTAGACATGTTCTGATTGTGCAAAACGAGTATGTGGCCACCCATGTTCAATTAATGATGATCAGGCTTGTAATAATTGTATAGAACTTGATCTCCCCAAACTATGCGGAGATTGTTACCCTGTCGGTCCGGAGGTAAATAATTAATTTTAATTAAATATACACAAATATTTTTTTAGAATTTCTTATATTGCATTACACGTGTTTGTACACCTCCTTGTCGAGCTAGCAAGGATGCTTGTAATAATTGTATCAACATTGATATTCCAAAGTTATGTAAATTATGCCCGTAAGTTATTTAATTTTAATTTAAATTTAGTAATTTCTTTAAAAACTTTTTAGCCTTGAAATATGAGGAATACAAGATTTTGGAATGAAAAGTGGATGATTGGTAATTGGGAAATGAAATTAAAAATGTGAAAGAAGAAAATAAATATATAAATATAATCATATAAAATTATTTTTTAAATAACAATATTAAATCATTTTTTTGGTAAATATAAAAATTTTGGTAAATATATAACTGGTTTGGCAAGAGAATTTATTTGTTTGATAGACTTGAACCAGGACTAGAGCCCTAGAAACTCAGAAGAGCACAATATTTTACAGAAGAAATGAAGTGTTACGACCATTAGGTATGAAACATGTCCTAATCATTTTTTTCCGGATCGACCAAATCCGGATCAAGCTCAAGGAATTATCCGGGGTTCATTTATCAAGGGTATATATATATCATTAATCAATCATTTTTTTCTTTTATTAATAAAAAAATGTCCATAGGGATAAAGGGAAATACCAAATTTAATCATGCTTTTACTTAAAGCTAGAGGGTGATTATAATTATCTGACAGAGTGTATTAAATGATAAATCAAATAATTGAAATAAGTTTAACTCAATATTTCAATAAACATTGTAACTTTTTTACTCAGAAATTAAATAGAGAAACACAATAGAAAACAGAAAATTTATCAAAATTATGAAAAATAAATGTAAAAATACATCCAACAAATCAAAAAAGAATATTTTTTAGAAATACTTCAAACGTGTTATCTTTATTCGAAATTAAATTTTTAAAATTAAAATGAATTGAAAATGTCTTGTTCTTCTTCAAAATCTTCTTCTTCAAATTCTTCTTTTTCTTCAAAATCTTCAAAATATCCCATAGTTGGTCCTTCAAAATTTTCAAAGTCATTTTTCGCATACTCAAAAATATTGATCTTGTCGAAAAGTTCGTTCTGCAAAGATGTAAAATTAATTTTAAAATGTGATTTCCCTTGTTGGGAAGGGTAAACCTAAATTTAAATTAAACTTTTAATACCTTTTCGTTAACAATTTTCTCAATTAGTTTTTCCATTTTTTGAATTTTAATTTCATTTTCCTTTCCCTTATGTTCTAAAAATATTTTCTCCTTTTCAATTATATCCATTCTTTTTGAATGCTCATTAATAGCCTTTTGAAGAGTGTTAAAATTTGTTTTTGACATCTTAAAATAAATTTAAAATATTTAATAAAAAAATAAACGATTACCTCATAAAAGTCATCAAATCGTTTATTTTCCTTATCATCAATAACCGCAATTTTTGCTTCTAAATTTTTAATTTGCTCGACTAATTTACCCAAATCTGTTTTTGTATCCTCCAAAATTTTAATTTTTTCATTAAGTTTGGCCTACAAATTTAAAAATTAATTTTGGGTTTTACTAAATAAGTTCACGGGCCCCAGGCACTCTCCTTTGTGAGTGATATATCCTTTATGATATATTGAGTGAAATATCCTTTATGAGTGATTCTCTATGCAAAAGTAAATCCCTAATTTAAATTAAACTTTTTATACCTGTTCTTTAACCATTTCCTTAATTTCCTTTTCCATTTTTTCAATTTTAATTTCATTTTCTTCAATAGTTCCATTATTTTGTGAGGGGCATTCTTTACTCATTTTCTCACTTTCTTTTTGCATTTTTAGAATTTTAATCTTATTTTCGTTATGCCTAGCATCGGCCACAAAAACGATATATAAAATAACACACCAATAAATTATGTGTACTTTATAACTTGAACTCTTCTGTTCCAAAACTATTTTTATTGGTTTTGAATTGTGATTTGACTAAAAATTATTTTTAAAAATTTTTTTTTCCAATTTTTTATAATTTTAATAAATCCACAGTCCATGGTACTTATTTAACCCCCCACCCCCAGTCATTTTTTTGGTAAATATTAGGGTTGTTGGATTTTTGAAAATTTTTGCCAAAAATGAACTGTTTTTACCGAAACCGGAAATTTGTGAAAAAGAGTGATTTTATTAAAAATTCTCCCAAAATAAAACCAGTATTTGCTTAAAGCTCAAAACAGAAAAACCGGGTTTTTAAAATTTGGATTAACCGAAAACCGGAGGTCCGGTTAATAACCGGTCGCCAACAACCCTAGTAAATATGTAAAAAAGTGATCAGTCATTCTAATGTTATAGAACTCGTCGATCTGTGTCGAATGACATCGAAATCGACAAAATCTGACTTAATTGGATACAGGCCACTCAAAATTGAAAAATCATAGGTTTATTTTAAAATTTAATATTCAAACTCACTTCTTCATATCTATCAAAATAATCCCATTCATCAAAATGTTTAGATGTTTTCATTTTCATTTAAATTTTTAAAAATCTGTAAATAAATTTAAAAAATTAATATAAAAATTATTTTTTACAAAATAAAATAAGAAAATTAAAATAAAGAGTAATTTTTGAGACTTTATAAAGGGGAGGGTATTTATTTGGAGAAAAGTAGTTTGTAGGCAAAATAAATTACAAAAAATTTTAAAATAAGGGAATTAAATATCTCTGAGACAATTTTTTGAGGCAATAAATTATTTGAATTTTTTGTAGATTAAATAAATAGAGCTTATTTTTTAATTTTATTTTTAGCTAACAATTATTTGTGTAAAAAGACTCATGGCAGAGTTTATAGAGCAGCCATATTCAACAATTTATTTTTAATTTTTAACAGTAGTAATGATCTTTAACCATGATCTTTAAGAACAATCATAACCATTAGGGCTATGCGTCATGACGTTCTAGCATTTTTTGCCGATTTTGGCGTTCGGCGCACAGCCAATGAAACCCTGATTTGTGGTGACCGAAAAACTCTTATCATTACTTGTGTACAACATGCCTCAAATCAAAATGTTTAGGTGTAGAACGTTTACTTGTCAGTGAAAATTTTAGAAAATTAAAAAAATTTTACTACACCCCACGGATAGTTGGTTACAGATGGACGAAAATGAACCTTCGTCGGATGAAAGGCGGTCGAACCTTGATTGTAGTCTTTTGTAAAATATTATGCTCTTTTGAGTTCCTAGGGCTCGAGTCCTAGTTTATTTAAGGCTATCGTACGAATCAATTCTCTTGCTAAATCCGTTATATATTTACCAAAAATTTTATATGTCCCAAAAATTTATTTGAATATAATGTTATGTATTTTAGATTTAATTATCTGTGTTTATTTTTATTTATTTTCTTCTTTCCCGTTTTAATTTTATTTCCCAATTATCAATCATTCATCCATTTTCAATCTTTGTATTCCTCATATTTCAAGGCTAAAAATATTTTAAAGAAATTACAAAATTTTAATTAAAATTAAATAACTTACGGGCATAATTTACATAACTTTGGAATATCAATATTGATACAATTATTACAAGCATCAACGCTAGCTCGACAAGGAGGTGTACAAACACGTGTAATGCAATATAAGAAATTCTAAAAAAAAAATTGTGTATATTTAATTAAAATTAATTATTTACCTCCGGACCGACAGGGAAACAATCTCCGCATAGTTTGGGGAGATCAAGTTCTATACAATTATTACAAGCCTGGTCATCATTAATTGAACATGGATGGCCGCATACTCGTTTTGCGCAATCAGAACATGTCTAAAATAATTTTCATTAAAATTTATGAGATATTAATGCTAAATATTGTATAAGAATGTGGGGGCATAAATTAATTTAATATTTAAATATTTACACTGTTGAAAGATGGGCAAGATTCACATTGTTTAGGAACATCAATTTTGTAGCAATTATCACAAGCTGATTCACTTGATTTACATGGATAATCACAAATTCGTGTCTTACATTCTTCACATGTCTTTAAATTAAATAATGTTAACTCACCGACACTAAATATTTTAATTAATTTAAGTATTACTGCCTAATAATTACCTATATTAAACTAAAAATAACACAAAATTCCTTAAAATTCTCATACTTAAAAATATTTAAAATATCCTATTTACTTCTTTAACAGCAGGACAAGTTTTGCAAAGTTTGGGGACATCAATTCTGTGACAATTGTTACAATCAGAATCACCCACACTACATGGGTAATCACAGATTCGGTGTGTGCATTGTTCACAAGTCTTTAAATTAAAATTATTTCTTAAATAATTTACAAAATATTTTAATTTTTAGGAAAAAATATTTATTAAAAATGTAACAAAAAAGGGCCCTAAAGGAAAAATTAAAAATTAAATAAAGGAAGATAGTCCAGAATTGCTTGAAATCCTTTTGTTATAAATTTGAAAAAAATAGATTATTGGATTAATTAATTGGACAAGAAATTAGATTACAATTACAAATTTACAAACGTAGAATTAGCCCGAAATCTATAACAAAGCCAGGATTCCCCCCCCCCCCCTCCCTCCCTGCCCCACCCCCTGACTACGGGCCTGAACAAAAGGACCCAGAATTGAAGAACAACCATCCCTCTAAAACAAATTTGTGTATTTAATTAAACCTAATAATGAGCTTTTTTAAATTTAAAATACCTCATCAACAGCCGGGAAGCAACATCCACACCTTTTTGGCAAATCTATAGTCTTGCAATTGTTACAGGCACTTTCGCTTACATTACAAGGATGGCCACAAACATCTGCTGCGCATTTTTGGCAATTCTTTAGAAAATAATTTTTTTTTAATTTTTTAAATATTTTTTTAAATTCGATTTTCAATTAAATAAAATCGAAATTTAAAAATTTTTTTTTTAAAAAATACTTCAATATTTTCTTCAGAAACAATTAAAGCAAAAATGCTAAATAAAGCAATAATTATAAAATTAATTTTTTGAGAAGCCATTTAAAAATATTTTTTATTTAAAAATTAATTACTTAAAATTTATTTTTTGATTTATTTTAATATATTCACCCTTCTCTGTATTTATATTAATTAAATTTAAAAAATTCCCAACAAGAAGCTACTCCAGAGAAAAAAGCTTTGCAAATAAAAATTATTTAAAATAAAATTTAAATAAGGTACATAAATGGATATTTTAATAAATTTATTTATTTTAAATTTATTTTTAAATTAATGACGCATTTTGGTAAAGAATTTTAAGGGATATAATTTCCTTTTTTGGAAAAAATTTTTTTTTGAATCTATTGTACAAACTTTAAATTTATTTAATATTTTTTCTAAAAATTATTTTAATTTAATTTTAATTTCGAATATTTATTTTTATTTTATGTCAAACAGTTTGAATTATTTTAAAAAGAATATTTTATGTAGAGCCTGGATGGCGAGAGCCCTGATCGGTAGTACGGTACGGGATACCGACCGATAAAATCTTTTATTTTTTTCCGTACCGTAATACGTTACCTAAAAAATTTTCGGTATTTAAAAAATAATCTTTTTTGCTTTATTGGATGATTGTGATGCGAAAAGAAATTTTTACATTCATTTTCCTTAATTTAAATTTAATAATTAGTTTTTTTAATTTTCTGATTTCTATTGTTTTTCTCTATTTAATTATGAATAAGCAAGTTGTTTGTTTTTATTGAAAATTTGTGTTAAATTTATATTTATCAATCGAAATATCCACAAAAATTTATCTGAACATATCTAGCATTATTAAGGTTAGGATTTTTAGGCAAATATCTATATTTTTCTCTAGATAGGCCTGACGCTGAGACGTCCAAATCAGGTGTTATTTTGATTATAGTTGCCCCCTATTATTCCTTTTTTCAGCCTATTTTGCATATTTTTACTAAAATTTGCGAATTTATGGGCATTTTTAGACCTTTTTGATAGATTTTAGTCATTTTTTTTGCATATCTAGTGCATATTTTATGAAATCTTGTATATTTTGCTGGCCTATTTTGCCTTTTTTCGGATTTAAGTGCCTATTTTGGCAGTCTTTTAGTGCCTAGATAGGTGCTTATTTTTAACTTTATCGTGTCTAAAAATCCTAACCCTACTCATTATAGACGGATACATTAATTTAAAAAACAATCCTCTCAAATTTTACACTCGTTTTTTCATTATTGTCATTTTAAACTTAAAAGCCGAGCCAATCTTCGATTCTGCATTGCAAAATGAAAATTTCACTGTTGGATCAAATTTATTGACGATTTGGTATTTTGTACATTTAACACCATTAAATTCTTTAATTTCAACATTTTCTGCCTTCTTGTTCACTTCAAAATTTGAGGCAGACATATATTCTAACATAATAACAGGCACTACTTTTGAACAGTCTTTGGATGTTGTTATATACTAAAATTTAATAATTTCTGAATCATAGATTTCATTAAAAATAAAGATAATTCTTCAGAGGACGTCCCCTTTTATTATGTTTCCCTGACCATTTTGAGCTTTTTTGCCTGACATATAATAATTTATATTAGAGTACGTCCGAGTCGGGTCGAGTACGAGTATACCCGACTCGATCTCTCGACTTTTTTACAACTTTACTCGTACTCGATACTCGAGGTCTTTGTACTCGGCATTACTCGTACTCGAAAACTTCATACTCGGGTAACTCGAGTATTTTTATGTCTCTATCTGCGGCGCAAAATGGAAGATTTTTGGCTTAAGGATCTTCCAAATTTCCCAAAATTTTCGCCTGCGGCGCTGAAAAAGTAAGAAATTTTGCTCCTTGGCATTCCAAAATTCTCAAAATTTTCGCCTGCGGCACTGAAAAGGAAGACTTATGTGTATATCTGAAGATTTCAATGGACTTGGGTGGATTCTAGTGATAGACATTCCAAGGGAAGGATCTGGCCTTCCTGAACTTGGAAGGCCAGTTCCTGAACTTTTTATCCATCTCACTCTCGGTTATCACTTATATCTGCATAACCTACACAAATCCCCCGAAATAATATTATCCATTCATTTTCCACCCAGAGCCCGAAGCCAGCATTGATCATGGGCGTATCATGGAATTTCGTCGGATTATGAGGGATATAGGCGGATTAAGAAAATAAATGGGATTTGGATGATGATCCCATGCATCACTGTTAACAAATGCCCAATACCAAGCACTGATAATGAGTAAAAGTATTGTTTTTGTTAAAATTATTTTAGAATACTGTTTTATAAAAATTACTCGTTTTACTCGTACTCGTACTCGGCCTAAAAATTGAAACTCGTACTCGTACCCGGACTTTTCATACTCGGCTTTACTCGTACTCGTGTTTTTCCAAATTACTCGGACTCGGACGCACTCTAATTTATATATCATTTGAAAGAGCTGTCCGGGCTGGGTAGATTGATACTATGATCGGTTAAATTTGGCGATTTTAAACAAAATTATGAAGCTAAATCCTTTGTGGACATGCTTTTTGTGATGTTGAAAGGGATTAAAACAAATGCTCATAACTATGTTTATTTAAGTCAGATTTCCGTTCGACTCAGCTCGAAGAACTTTTTCGAATGGATATAAAAAATTCATAGAAATTGGAAAAATAGGGCGTAATCCGTAGAATTACCAAAATAAATTTACTTCAAAAATAAGATCATATAGCCGTGACATCTCAAAATTTCTTAAACTTTTTAAACAAAATTGGGGTAATTTATTGCCTTCATTTGTCAAAATATTGAATAAAATATCTATTTGTTGCTCAGAAGTATTCTCCTCGAAATAATCAACACTAAGAGAATCGTAAGTTGATAAATGATTTAAAGCGAATCTCAAAGCATTTTCTAATTTATAAGTAAATTTGTTAACGTCTAGAGAGGGTTTTTGAATATGAAATTGAAGAGGAACTGGTTTGTCGTTATCAAATAATAAATTAATCATTTCTGGATTGAAAACATTTTGGAAATCGGTATATTCGTAGAAACACTTAAATAGTCGTTCTAGCCAACATCGAACAATAGACATTTCTTTTAAGTTTTTTGGAAAGTTTGGCAATTTTAAAATATGATGCCGAAGTTTCTTTTTCTTTAAATCAAAATATGTTTTGTCCAAATTAACAGCAAATAGATGTGTCTCTTCAGAATCTTTTAAATACAAAGGAAGTGATTTAGCTATCGCTGCTTGCCACTAAAATAATAAATATAATTTAACCAAATAACGATACACCAAGTCCCGGACAATATAACTTATGAAGGGATGGTCACTTTTTTTGCTCTTGGTACCATTGGATAGGGCATTGAATAGGCTACAATATACTAAAAAATCAAAATACCAGACCGACTGGTCAAAAAGTTATGATCGATGAAGTGCCGAAAAACCGGATTTTTTTGAAAAAGTTAGTTTTTAGATTATAACTTTTTAATCAATGAATCGAAAATTTTGATTTTTTGGTATTGTAGTCCATCTAATTCTCTATCAAATGGAACCAAGATAAATTATCAACCCATACTTGGGTTTTAGGGCCAGGACGGGAGCAGGCCAACCTACCGGAGCCCAACCTACCGCCAAGGCCGAGGTTCGATACGCCTCGACGAGCGGAATCCAACCATACCGTTTTGTCTCAGATTCGACAATTTTGAACGAAGTTATAGCCTCGGCGGTAGGTTTGGCTCGCGGTAGGTGGAGGGGGGTGTACCCGTCCAGGACTCAGTTGAACTGCTCCAACCAAATAAAAATTAAATACACCTTCTCTTTAAGTTGATCATTCAAAATAAATTTAGAAACTACAGATTCAAGGGGAATAGTTTCAAAAATATTTGATTGATTGATATTGTCATCAATAATCTGGAATAAATTAAAAATACAAAAGGGGTTTAAATATTTACAATGTTAAGTTTATTGAATTTCAAACGAGCCAATTGATCTTCATATTCATCGACAAAATTATTGAAATAATTATTTGTTTGTCGAACAGAGAATAATTGACCAAAATTAACACATTTTAATATATCAAGTTGAACTTCGGGTGGTAAAGAATTCATTTTTTAAATTTTATCTTAAAGAGAAAAATAGAAACTAAATTTTATCATTTAAATTTATTATTCATAAAAAAATCGCAGTTTTTTTGTGGAAACTGAGTGACCAAATTAAGGAGAGTAAAAGCGTATCAGACAAAATTTTAACAAAAAATACCGCGTCCCGAAAATGTTTTCGGGGGTTTCGGGGTATAAACCCATAAAATGCCATATTTTTAGAAATTTAAAGGAAAAAAATTCAGAAAATTTCTTCCAAATTTACTTGGAAGTAAAGATGAAAGAAATATCAAAATTATCTTTGAATTTTCTCATAAGAGCTTGTGATTGAGTGGTTAAGTTGTTAGTCTTTGCTCTATCTAAATGGGTTGTGTCTAATCTAAAGTATGCACTAATTCTAATCCCTTTTACTAGCAGCATCCATATTTGCCATACAAGGAAACCATCGAGGGGTTAGAGGAATATCGGTGGATATTTAGTGATTAATCCGCAGATATCTCCTGATATCTGTCCAAAAATGATCCATATTCATTAATAAAATTTTTGTAATAAATATTTGTTTGTTGAATATTTAATAATTGACCCGAATTCAATCGAATCGAAAGGCCAACAAATAAGTTTAAAGATTAATAAAATGCTTTATCAACAGAGCTAACGAGCGAAAACTTTGATTTATTTATTTTATTTTATTTATTTACACACAAGGGTGTAAATGACAAAAATCGTCGTTTTAAATGCTGTCTAATGAATCATCCTTACACTATTTAGTGGTTTTATCTTTTACAATTAAATGTTGACATCGATATTTTTACAGATTGGAAGAATTTTTTCTATACTAATAAATTAAGAATAAGGTTGGCGGAGCTGGATATCCGGATCCGACAAAGGCCGGATATCCGAAATTTTCGGTTCGGATATCGGTTTCAAATCCGGATATCCGAAAATTTCCGACTATCCGCCAACCTTAA